TCACAACTACCCTGTCATTCCTCCAGATTTAACTGCCACCTCAGTAAAATGAGCCGGCACTGTGCACAGTAATGTCACAGTCCTTGGTTTATTAGGTAAATTAATAAAAACTAATTTAAAGAAATAGCAAAATCAGTGAAAACAAATAGACATCAATGTTCATTGGCGTGATACATACTATTATGTATTCATTAAGATGAATAAAATTACACATGCAATGCCCCTCTTTTGTGAGCAGCTTGGATAATGCCATGATTCAGTAATCTGGTGGCGTATTACTGTAACCGTGCCTCCAAAAGCCAGCTTTTTTTGCCCACATACTTCCTCTTCCTGCCATGAGTCATGTCAGTTTTACATGGGTGTGTGGTGAGAATTAGAGTTACCTTGTTCTGTATACACAAAGCAAAGGCTCCAGTAAGTGTGACCATGAAAAGCAAATGATGTTTTTCAGCCAGCAGTTGATAGATAGCATCTGCTTTGTTGTTGTTACCCAACAGCAAAAAGGACAAGCCTGTACCTGTGAGGGATGATGATGAAATGCGTGCGTGTTGTGTAATGTGGTTTGTGTTTTGGGGCGTAAAGTCGAACAATCTTCACAGTGTGTCGAAAGCTCACCTTGATGCCCTTGCCATCATGAGCTATTCTCTGAGAATACATTGTGTGTGTGTGTGTGTGTGTGTGTGTCACTTTGTCCAGTGCATTACGAATGAATAATGTATGACATTCAGCTGTGTTTGCACGTCGGGCAACACCCACATAATCAAGATGAGACAGAAAGACAAAGACAAAGACAGACAGACGGCGAGAAGCAGGGAGATTAATGCAACACAATTGTATGAACCTTACTAAAATTATTTTTAATGAAGATCCCAGATAATTAGTTCTGCCTCATGCAACGAAAGAACAAGTGCACACAGCTGTCCTTCATGACACGGGAGGATTTTACCCACACTGCTGCCAAAAAACAAGTCATAATTATATCCGCGTTGTTCTGTTATTCAGCGTGGCCTGGTGGCTCGGCTGCTGACACCGTCTGTATATTAACACCTGCAGTAACACAGTGTAATAATACCTACAGTAAGCCGGGGTATAAGGATCTATTGTTGCCCAGATGTTCAAGTGCTTGTTTCACTCAAAGGCCTTTAATTGCCACATGCAGCATAATCATTTGCAATGAAATAAATATAGGATATTCCTCGCAACCACCTGTCAGCTAATGATTAGGAAAATTACATGTGGTGCTCTGTCCACGTTGCTGCGTCAGCTTTGCCGTAATTCGAAAACAAAGGGGATTTAAATAAACATACATTAATGTAATCACGGCCACCTGTGAAGGTAGAAGCAAAAGAGCGGACCCTTTCACTCTATAGTAATTACTGCAAAAGCTGTGTTACTGTGGTACTTGTATGCAAAGTAACTCTTATACAAATGATTAGAAAAAGATTACAGTGCAATCACATGCATGCACTTTCAAGAGTGAACACCCATTCAGACGCATAGGTTCCGTTATATATATA